GACACAAATGCTATATGCAAACAGGATGAGCAGTAGGTCAGAAATAGAATCATACACAGAACTGAGGGTATAAGGAAAACCCTGACCGTGATGGTCACAAGGAACCTGGCATTCTACAAATTGAGTATGAGTATAGCAGTGGCCACAAGATGATCACTTTTAATTATTATTTTTAGTATCTCTTTTAATGGCAGCCTAGTTATTTCTTAAGATGTGAGTTTGAAGTTTTCATTTTAAAATAATATTGGTAAACTATTTTTCTTCATGCGTTCATTCCTTATGAAGAGAATCTACTCTTTCTTTGTTTTTAAATTTATTTTTATTTAAATTAGAAACAAGCCTGTTTCACATGTCAATCCCAGCTACCTCTCCCTCCCCTCCTTCCCCACCCCACCCACCCCTCCCACCCTCACCGCATCCCCACTCTGCTCCCCAGGGAGGGTGAGGCCCTCTACGGGGATCCCCAAAGTCTGCCTAGGCCCTCCCCCATGTGTCCAGGGTGAAAGAGCATGCCTCCACGTGGAATGGGCTCCCAAAGTCCATTCATATTACAGGGATAAACACTGATCACTACCCAAGGCCCCATAGATTGCTGAGGCCTTCTAACTGATACCCATGTTTTGGGTGTCTGAATCAGTCCCATGCTGGCCTCTCAGCCATTAGTCTGGGGTCCATGAGCTCCCCCTTGTTCAGGTCAGCTGTCTATGTAGTTTTTAGCAGCCTGGTCTTTGTTCATCACTCCTCTCTCTCTGTCACTGGGTTCTAGGAGTTCAGTTCAGTGTTTAGCTGTGGGTGTCTGCCTCTGCTTCCATCAGCCACTGAATGAAGGCTCATGTTTGTCTTTTTGTGACTGGGTTACCTCATTCAGGAGGGTTTCTTCTTCTTCTTCTTCTTTCCTCAATATATGTTTTTATTTAAATTAGAAACATGCATGTTTCACATGTTGATCCCAGCTCCCTCTCCCACCCCTCCTCCCTTGTCCCTCTACCAGTCTCCCCCAGACACCCACCCAATCCCTACACCATTCCCCAGGGAGGGTGAGGCCCTCCTTGGGGGGATCAGGAGGGTTTCTTCTAGTTCCATCCATTTGCCTGCAAATTTCAAGATTCTATTGTTTTTTTCCATTGAGTAGTACTTCATTATTCATCTAGTAGCTGATCGAAACAGAAGCAGGCACCCACAGCTAAACACTGAGTCATACTCCTGGAATCCATTTGCTGAGAGGGAGGAGACATGAACAAAGGAGCCTAGATGGTTCTGGAGAAACCCGAAGAAACAGTTGACCTGACCTAGTGAGAGCATGGAGACCCTAGTCGTAAAACTGGGGAAACAGCATTGGACCAAACCAAGACCTCTAAATGTGGGTGCCGGCTAGGAGGCCAGGACAGTCTATGGGACCTCTAACACTTGAGCCAAGAATTATCCCTAGAGCACAAATGGACTTTGGGAGCCTATTCCCTATAGAGGGATACTATTGCAGCCCAGATCTTGGAAGAAGGGCCTGGGCCCTCCCACAAATGATGTGACAGACCTTGATGGTCCCCCGAGGAGGGCCTCACTATCCCTGTGGAGTGGATTGGGGGGGTCTTTGGAGAGCATGGGAGGGTGAGAGGGGGAGGGAATCCGGGAATTGATATGAAATAAGTGTACTTCTAAAATAAAAAATATAAAAATTTTAAAAAGTGGGGTACAGAACTAAATAGAAAATACTCAATAAAGGAGACTAATATGGCTGATAGACATTTAAGAAAGTGCTCAATGTCCTTAGCTGTCAGGGAAATGCAAATCAAAACAATTCTGAGATACAATCTTACTCCTATCATAATGGCTAAAATCAAAAACACCAATGACAGTTTATGCTGGAGAGGATGTGGAGAAAGGGGAACACCCTTCCACTACTGATGGGAGTGCCAACTTGTACAGCCACTTTGGAAATCTGTATGGAGATTCCTCAGGAAAATGGGAATCAGTCTACCACAAGATCCAGGAATTCCAGTCTTAGTCATATACCCAAAAGATGCACATTCATACAACAAGGACATCTGTTCAACTATGTACATAGCAGCATTATTTGTAATAGCCAGAACCTGGAAGCAACCTACATACCCCTCAGCTGAAGAATTGGATGGAGGAAATGCAGTATATTTATACAATAGAGAATCTGTTCTTATAGAGTAAGGCAGGTAGGCCTTGGGACTTAATTACACAGCTCATGCCAATTGAAAACAAGGCTTATATAAATTTTAATATATTCTTTTATTCAATATAGTTTCTGATATATTTCACTCATTTACATTTTATATTAAAATTTTATTTGAGTAATATGAGTTTTTGTTTGCTTCTTTTTTTGAGACAGAGTTTCTCTGTGTAGTCCTGGCTATCCTGGAACTTGCTCTGTAGATCAGGCTGTCCGCAAACTCAGAGAGAAATCCATCTGCCTTTGCCTCCCAAGTGCTGGGATTAAAGGCATGCACCACCACCACCCAGCTGAAATTTTTACAAAGAGAAGATAGTACATGGCTTTTGCATAGTGTGTACAACACCTCCTTTTTTGGTAACCTTTCATTGACTGTTACTTCACTTTTATTTGTAGAGCCCATAAAATTCTCATGACCAGTTCATTTCTGGATGTGTTTGGACAATTGTCACTTATGTGTGTGTTTAAACAAATTTCTTCTCATAGTGCAGTAGCTCTAATGCTTCAAGATCCGACATCCAAATAATGTTGCTCCCAGTACCCACCTTCCTTGCGTTCTTCCTCATTGTAAAACGGTCCACTAGTCTCCAAATGCTGTGTGCATATGTTCACATGCGCACCTTCGCTGTCTGTTTGCAGAGGAACTAGAAGTTGTCATTCTAAATTCACTGGCGCATCATTTTGAATGATGTGGTTCAGCTGGCTGGTGCTCCTCGCAGAGGACCTACACTGTCAGAGCACTCATACTAATTTGCATGTGGTAATGACGTGCATGTGTCTGTCTATTCACTTTCACTTGTGTGTGACCCATCTGCCCAGCACTCTGTTAAGTGAGAGCTTGGAGAGAGCCGGGAAGCAGGCTGTGGCCACAGGCAGAGGTTATTCCCAGGGCCCTCTGTGGCTCCTGAGCAGCTATGAAGTACACATCCTGCTAGTGCCCCTTTAGAGAGAGCATCCGTCATGTCCACAGTAGCAAGCTCCTTAGGTCACCGTTGTTAACCCTGTAATAGGAACTTGGGTGTGTGCATTTCAGGAGAAGGAAATTATATAGAAAAGACAGAAAGAGAGCAGCTGAACACCTATCACCGCGACCACAGAAGAGAAATTGGAGGCTAAAAGAAAGGGCGTTTAGGAGACCTTGGGAAGAAACAGTGAACAGGTGAGAACAAGACTGGCCGACATCTCCACCAGTGTCTAAGTGATTCAACCTTGCATCCAAAGAAACAGACTTTAGGTACATCATGATTGCCAGAGAGGAACTCACCACACTTAGCTGATATGTCTGACAGCAAAAGAAAAATTGATTGGACCATTTGGGTGATGCTTGCAATGAAAGAGCCCAATTGTTTTGAACTTTAATGGCTACTTAGTTCCTTATCCTAATTCTAATATTGTAAAAAACATAGAAATAAGGAAACTTAAGTCTAGCATCATTCCATTCCTCAGGCAATATAGTTATTAATATTTAGAATACTTGTTTCATGTTTGTTCTTAGAAATTTCAAATCATCGAGTATGGGTATAATATTAAATCCTGACCCTTTAACATAGCATTATATAGTAATTTTTTCTCCATTCTATTAACATTATCAAAGTAATAATTTCAGTGGCAAAACATTTTTTTCTATGAATATGCCATGTTAGCATTTAGTAAATACATCCCTTACCCTTGAGCATTTATCATCAGTTTTTCAGTAATAAAACTTAAACTAGCCCATGTGCATCATTAAGTGGCACAACTATTACCTGAGTAACTCTGTACTGTACATATATTAAGCTCGTTTGAGTAACCTTTATACCAGTAAGAACAGATGCTCTATTCTCAGTTGGGGAAATAGCTCAGTAGGTGAAGTGGCTAGAACGCATGTAAAGAAGTTACACGTGATTTCACATGATTTTAATACCCGGATTGAGAAGGCAGAGGCAGGCAGATCCCTTGAATTCATTGACCAGCCCACCTAGCCTACTTAGCAAGCTCTGTGGCAACGAGCGTTACTCAAAGAACAAGAAGGGATAGCTCCTGGGAACAACTCTGAGGTTGGCCTCTGGACTCCACATGTACATTTACTCCTGTACACATATAAACAATTACAACAAAGGGGTTCTATTCAAATGCATGACCAGGTTAATTATTTCACTTCAGATTACAGACATCATGCGAAGTTAAAATGTCATAGCTGAAATGGTGCTAAACTAAATTATGTCACCTTTTTTATTAAATGAGTGTCATGGTCGGAAAAATTGTTCAGTGGAGAGCTTCCATAAGCCACATAAATCTCAAAATGACAGAGCTACCAAGGCACTTGGAAATCAGGACACCCAGAGTTGTTCTCTAATAGGCAAAGAAACGGGACTGGATATCGGGTCAGGCATATTGCAAGGTCACCCAGCTGGACAATGACCTTTCACCCTGGATTCTTGGCTCTGTATCTGCCTCCACATTCATCAGCTCCAGTCATCTGAGCACTGAAGAATTCAGTACAAGTTCCTTCACTCTTTGCCTCTGTATATCCTAAGAAACATGTGCGAAAATAAAATTCCAACTGGTTCTTTGATTATCCTTTCTAACTCCTACTTCGTTCAATTTGTTGTAAAGACTGACAAATTGTAAGCCACATAAATCAATTCCCTTTCAGGAATCGTGAATCAGTGCAGTCATCTTGCAACACAGAAGCCGCATGTTGTCTCCGATTTCAGCTAAACTAAACTTGGCCTTTAGCTGGCTGGTCTCATAAATACCTGTGGAAGACATGGCTATGGGGAACTGTACCATTATTTAGGAACTCTTTTGTTTTTCTTACCAGGTATCTGTATGCCCTTGGACAGAAGGTTTGGAAAAGATGGAAAAAGCGTTACTTTGTTCTTGTTCAGGTCAGTCATTTATTTTCTTGTTAAGTAATTGCTTTCTGACAGTGTGTCTCACACTGTCATCCATTTGCGTCATATCTCTTTCTGATAATTCCTGCATTAGAAATTGAAATTGAGAATTACTTTAAATAATTCATTTGAAAATAAAGAAGTAGTGTGTTCATTGTATGCCAACACAAGTAACTCTTTTTATATCAAACAACAACCCAAACAACTTCTAATGAAATGACAGACATTCTGTTCTTCTGTACATTTCTTCATTGTCTGGTGTGCTGTTGGTGTACTGGTATATTGTCTAGTGTATTGCCAAAATGCAACTGTTTTCCTTTGTCAGCTTCTGTGTTTAACTAGTTACAGTATCAACTCCAATAGTCATTGCAAAGTGACACTGTGCAGTCAGTGTGAAAAAGGCAAAAAAAAATTAGTATTATAGAAAGTGTACTGGCCTCAAGTCTAAGGATCTAAAGGACGCTAAGACAATCCCTTGAAAAAGCTGCAGCATCCAGGTAGTATGCAGAAAAGCTGTGGTCCATTCAGTCTCTCGTTTTATATGAATATGTCTGTTATATATTCATATAAATGTACTTTTAAATCAAATTGTCCACTGTGTTAGTGATTGGGTTCTGACCTTTTAAAATCATAAACAACCTTTGTTCATAGAACAAGGTCTTTGATTTCTAGTTTACATGAAAGTGTTGCTTTCGAAATAGTCATTTCAGTCCAGGATAAATTCAAACTCTTTCATTCTCAGTGGAAATATATGAAAAAAGAATCACTCTTGGAATCCTAACACAGAATAGCTTATAAAATCCCATTGATTCCTACCACACATTAGGCAAGCTTAACTGAACTAGATCAGAATGATACGAGGAAATGCCAACAGAGGAAAATTATCATTTGCTGTTTTCTAGAGATATAGTCATCCATCAGTTGCTGGGAAAAAATGGTTTATTGATGTTTCATGGTAGCATGGTGTCTTCGTGAAAAGTGCTAGAATTCAGCTAAAAGCAGTTGTATCTACAAGGCAGAACACAAGTCTATTTTATTCTTAGCTCAAGGGTAACATTTCTTGTGTGCCTTAGAGTAATAATAAAAGGTATGCGTATGTACATGTGTATACAGTGAACACACATACACAATCTTTTGATCTAAAATACAGGTAATTGCCTTGAGTAAGGGTTTTCTGCCATCTATTCCCCCAAACTGCCCCTATTAAACATCTTCTGCAGTTTTAAGTTGTGCCTTTACAGTGGCACAGAATGGGCTGGCAAAACCAGCAGAGACAGCTGATCCGAACAGGGGAGAGCTCTTGGACCCCAGACGGACAGCTGGGAGGCCAGCATGGGACCGATCCAGACCCCCTGAATGTGAGAGTCAATGAGGAGGCCTGGGCAACCTATGGGGTCCTGAGCAGTGGATCAGTGTTTATCCCTGGAATACAAACAGACATTGTGTGTCCACAATACAAAGAGGCATGCTCTCTCTGCCTGGACTCTTAGGGGAGTGCCTGGACCCTACCCTGAATGAAATGATAGACTCTAGATATCCCCTATGGGGAAGGAATTGGCAATAGGATGGGAGGATAGGGGGGGATGGGGGGTGCGGGAGGAGGGGAGGGAGAGGGAACTGGGATTGACATGTAAAACAAGCTATTTAAAATTAAATAAGAATAAATACAAATGCTTAATGAAGAGTTTTGAATATAGATCTTCCTGGCTGCTCTAATTTTATCCCTATTATAGATGTCTCATCTGTACCTAACGGAATGCGTTTGTCATTGTGATTTGTCTTTGCTACGTCTTTTGGAAGCATTCCACTGACTTTTCATGGAAACAAAGCCTATTTCTCAGTTATATTTCATGACTTTGTATAGAATCTCAGATAATTCCATAATCTCAGTAGACGATTTGGAGGATAAACTACTTTTGAACAAACTAAGCTGGCTCTTAGTTTCACTGATGGGAATGTGAGTTAAAAAAAAATTAAAGTGTGTTTTAAAGGATGGGCAGATACCATTTGTTAGTCTGAGAACCTGGTAAATGCCAGTAGTACAAAAGTTTCCAATGTATGTATCGTTCAATATGGATATTAAGCTTCTAGAGACAGACTTTGAAAAGTTAAATGCTGACCTAATGCCTTGAATCCTGGGAAGGCTTAAGATCAGCATTTGCTACCTATCTTATTTTCTAGTAAATAGTCACATGAATCAGAAATTTTAACACAACTGTGTATACTTTGAATGTCACTTATTAGAGAATTTAGAAATAGAAGAAGGAACTAGGATGTTTCAAAGTGGTATGTTTTTAAGGAACGTTAAATGTGGAGGAGCTGACTCTTCCAGATAACTAAAATACATGTTTTATTTTAAAGGTAAAATCCAACTTGGATCAAAGTAGTGGTTAAATCCATATGCTCTTTAATTTAAATTTAGGAAAAATTCTACCTAACTTGAATTAGTTAGAATGTATTATACTTGATGTCAAATAGACAGAAGATAGATAGATGATAGATAGGTAGATAGATAGATAGATAGATAGGTAGATAGATAGATAGATAGATAGATAGATAGATAGATAGATGATAGATAGAAACACACACAGAGAGAATCATATGCTGAAATATATATGCCAGTACTCTGACAACTTTTTGAAGTTTCAAACACAATTGAATCTTCCTTCCAATTCCAAATGTAATGGGAAGACAAATTGAATGCTCTCACTTCAAAATCAAGATGGATATGTATGGAGATTCAATGAGAATGACCCATTGGGAGGAACTGGGTAGTTTTTATTAGTGTTTTTAAAGACATCTCTCATTCTATCTGCACACAGCTTGTAAGTCCATACCTGCAGGCTGCATTATTGAAAGGTGAAGGAGTTGTTTTTCATAGGGAGGACAGCATACCCTGCTGTGTCTGCTGCTGCCATCGGCACAATGGTGCTCTGGTGATAATGTGAATCTCATCACCACGTGTGAGTGTGGATTATGTGAGTGATATAGTTGGAGACCCAGCCATCAGCCCAAGAATTTGTACTCATAAAAATTGATTGAGAGCGGGTTTGGCCAGCTGCAAAGTCGTTGTTCCAAGTGAGCACTTGAGGAGCCACTGAGGTGAGAAGGCTTTTCAAAGACTCATATAAACATGAAAATCGGAGGCAAAAATGTCAATTTAAATTAGAGTCAAAAAATCAGAAAGCAAATTATCTGTCAATGTTGGGTGTTTGTTTGCTTCCTATTTAAGTTGTACCCCTTTTTATATTCTAATGCTGGTGTGTTTACAGCAATAAATCTGTGTTAATAAATAAGAGACTGAATTTTCAAAGCAAAGACAATTTTTGTTCAAGATAAATTAAAAGAATGATTACAAATAATATATTGAAATCTTACCAAAATTAAACTTTCTGATATATTTTTATGTTTCCCTAATAGTTTAGTATTTATTAGATTTAGGAAAGCATAACTGATATAAACTACTTCTGATACTATCTTGTAACTCAAATAATAATAAGACTTGGATATCTTAGAAACAGTTTTTCATCAGTTAGTCATCATTTATATGAAACAATTTTTATATTTAAATAAGTGGAATTATTTCTCCTATAGTTTTCTAACATCTATTCAAATAGCTGTATACATCAGATATTATATATTTCTGTAATAAATCCAAATTCTCCTGAGGCACTTAGGTATTAACACATCTTTTATGTATTTAATCTGATTGCTATTAAGTGATTGCCCTGTGGCACACATTTGCCTAATGCACTTTTAATGCATGATCTTATTTGCTCTTCAAAATAAGCCTGCCACAGGAGGTGTTACTATTTCCCTCACAGCCCAGTTAAGATAAAATGTATATGGGCCATTGTGTGATGTTCTCAGGATTCATCTACTATGAGATAGAGTCAATTGAATAATATTCTGTTAGACAGTAGAGGCAAAGCTCATATTTCCTGCTCCATATGGCTATGATTAAATTAATGCACACAGCCACAGTTCATCTGAAGATAAACAGATATCTTAAAAATCACTAGGGATCATTAATGCCAGAAGGTACAAAGCAGTGTTGCCGCATTAAAGAAGTAACCATGGAGGGGTAGCCCAAAGAGCCCTGGGATTAAGGAAATGACTGACTGTGTGACATCACTGGAAACTGAAGTAGACATCTATGTTGTGTTGGCCCTGTATCAAGTGTTCACTGCTTGTTGTCAATGTGTCAGAATCATGACTTGAAGTTGCTGCAAACAACAGCAGGCTATCAAGACATAATGTTAATTACGTATCAGCTGAGTTGGCACAGGATGTAAACAGGCGGTGATCAGAACATGCTGCAGGCACATGAGAAACACTGTTCCCCAGGAAGATGTTGTTGGGATTCTATTTAAACCTAAAGAAGGGACTCTCTTTGCCTGATACTTTTTGAAGGACTCAGCGTATTTGGAGGACCCGATGCTAACTCCTCAAAGGCATTTGAAATGACAGTAGTGCATATAGAACACGCACTAGTTGCAGTGTGAAGAGTTTTAGTTTAGAGTACCATTTGTTTGCTTACACAAGACAGTTTGAAGTGATAAAGCTATGGCTGTTACATCAACAAAGATCAGGATGGGGGTGCTGTTGTTGACCATTTAAGTTGGGCATGTCAGTATACCAACACATGGCTTTTGTGGTAGAAAATGAAAAACCCTGTAAGCAGAATTTTCCTATCATGACTTCCTGCCAGTTCCCAAATAACTGACACAGAGTCTTATATTAATTATAAATGATCAGCTAGTAGCTCAGGCTTATTACTAACTAGCTCTTACAAGTTTATTTAACCCATTTCTATGCGTCTACATTCTGCCACGTACTGTTACCTCTCTTTCATTTTGTACCTCCCATTTCTACTTAGTGTTTTTCTGACAACTCCTCTAACTCTGTCCTCCTTCATACCAACCTCCTCTGTGTCTGGCTGTCCAAACTATGCTTCCTGTCTAGCTACCGGTCGGTCATCTTTTTATTAAACC